TTATCTTTCTGCGATAAATTATTTATCAGATATCGCGGCCGCCGTTTCGTGTGCTGTTCCGCGACGAAGACAAGCTTTGAACAACGGGCGTAGTCGAACGGTACACACTCGGTAAGTAATCCTATAATTTTTTGTTTATAGCATAGTTTATACGGATTACTCCCAAAAAATTATACGTGTTTTGGAAATGTTGAGTTGAATTAGTCTAGAATCGGTTAATTTTATAGAAGAAAACGTTTCGAACAGCCTTAGTCCGTAAAGTTCCCACCTATCGGGCTGCGATTGGCTCATGTATTTAATCGTTCCTACAACGTAATTTTCGGTTAGCGTGGAACATATCTAAGCGTTATAGGGGGGTCTACTGTACTAGAAATTCTCCCATCAACCACGATGGAATATTTTTTATGAGAAAGTAGAGATTGAAGAATTGAGAAGAGCTTCATGTCAAGCTTGACATCAGGCTGTTTCTGCAGCCCTTGACAAAGCCATTTTTACTCTATGTTGCTCAAATCGGACTTCATGGCCTTTGGGGTTTCGGTTGTTCTTATTCTTTTAGATCTAGAATTTACCTGACCAACTTTACTCTTGTGCTTTCCCCAAGGCATTTTTTTTTTCTTTGCTGTTTTGTCAAAAAAAAAAAAAACGTCTCTTTAATTCCATGTTGATAAAACAAAGATGAATTGTACATACATTAATTAGATTAGCAATAACACTGTCTAAATAACCAGCTCATTAGATTGTTACTGCCAATTGGATAATAGGATGTCATGTGGTCACTAGGGTTTCTCATTTCCCGGTCTTTTGCTTGTCCCGGGATCCCAGGATAAAAGTGAACTGTTTTCCGGGATCCCGGAATAGAATTAATTATTTTTAAGGTATACAAAATATCTTGAAATCAAATGATATAATTATTTTCCATTTTTTAAAGTAATTTTAAAGTTCTGTAACCTCCAAAATCATATTAATAATGCTGTGTAAGGTCTATAGGCCTATAATAAAAATTACCTTTAAATAACGTAGAAATTTTCACAAATAGAAAAAAATTAATTAAAGTTTGCTGGAAACTGCATACAACAACAACAAAAAAAAATGTTTTGAATTGAGTTAAAAATTAAAAAAAATGAACTTCTAATTTAGAAGGTAATTTTCGTTTTTTAAATAAAATATAATACAAAATATTGCAAACTTTTATAAGATTTTAAAAAGCAAAGATGGTCAATACTCCGATAACTCACTCTAATTCTTATTTTAGTAATGAAAAGTCTTGCCACCGAGAATGCCCTTTCCGATTCAATTGATGTGATTGGAATAGTGTTTAATGCATTTAAGAGAAGACAGATATTATGTGTTTTTTCACCTGTAGCCTGGAAGATTTCGAGTTCGTTTTCGAGATTGTAGTACTTCTTTCGCTCTCTAGTATTCTTGATTTGTCTACCTTGGCTGCTTTAATAGCGGCATCAAGCTTAGAGCTCGATAATTCGGCAATTCATTTGGCTTTAATAATCAGGTTTATGAAGAAAAACTTCATACTTGCAGACTTTGTACTCGTTTGTATCCTTGCCCAATTTGCACAATCTGGCGTCAGGCATTTATTGAAGCTACTGGGCATGGTTAAAACTCAAGACAGCGTAAGCACAATTATTCCAGATATTACAGGTTCCGACAAGTAAAGGATTTTTATAGTCCTGCCACAAATAAGCTATGTATTGATTATTGACCATTTGTGACATGCTACAACGAGCAAAAATTTAAAAAAACTAATAGGTAGGTTTAAAATTAATAAGTACAAATGTATTCTGACAGTGAATGAGTTAATTATGCTTTCTATTTGCAAAATTCCTCAACCTTAACACAAAATAAGGAAAAAAGTGAATTTTTAAGAAATTTGCAGGATTTCCCGGGATAAAAAAACAACCGGGATCCCGGAATCCCGTTTGAGAAACCCTAGTGGTCACTATGAAAAGACTTTTTCAAAAAGTTTGTTACAGAAGTGACACGATGCGGCTATCATTTTTAAGGTTTAAATTTAATGAAGCAAGTTTAAAATATACCATTTGCCAAAATATTTAAAAATACAACTTAAGAAAAATTTCCTTGTCAAGCATAAACGTCACGTGGTCACTGACATCACTGTAACCTAAGTGCGATCAACAATCCAAAATCGGTAAAATGTTTATTCTATAGCTAATATTTCTGCAAAATAAGTAGCCTATACTTTCCACCAGAATATAAAACGAATGTAACCAAAATTTCATGTGGATTGGACAAAAAAGTTATAAAAGCCACGTGAGTATGCTTATATTAGTAATTGTGTGAAGAATCCATTTACTGAAAAAGCAAACTGCTATTTATATTATCAAATGTAATGTTGCTATTGCTTGATGTGATGTAATAACAAGAATGTACTTATATATGTTTTCTGATAGGATTAAGATTATTTATCAAATTAAACAATTCTAAACTTTCAGGCTTCATTTATTCCCTAAAAATGTAACAACAGAGTCGTATACTATAAAGCAGCTCTGTTCCCACAGAAATAATTAGTGAAGTTTTTTGTTACACAACATTAAAACCATAAATTCAACAAAAAGTAGACAATAGAAATTTTGATAACTTCAAATCCCAAAAATAGAAGAAAGCACTACATAACTTGAAATTTTGGTCCAGAACAAATTGTGTGAAAGGTGAGCACTTAAAAAAAAAATCTTCAAAGTTTTATAACAATCAAATCAAATATGACCATATGGCTGAATGGTTAAGGTAGCAGCCTACTGCTCTAGGGACTTGGTATCCAATCTAAATGGGTCAAAAACCCCCAGGAATTTTTTGGGATGGTCTTTGTGGACATGTTGAGTCCCAATGCTGTCCCCTTCACTATTCATTTGTCCCAGTGAGGGCCTGATCATACCCATAATGGGCTTGCTGAAGAGAGTTAATTTGATTTTTTTTTAATAATGAGCTTCATCAAAATTTAAATTATTTTCTCTAGATTATTTATAATACTGTAATTTGAATACAGTAGAACCTCGATTATCCGGATTGTTCAAAATAAACAAAAATTTTACGAATTTGCTGATTTGCACTTGGCGAATTACGATACTGTTTATGTACGTGATGGAATGAATAACTTTTTTTGTTTCAACGTCTCACCCAGCACAGTGGTCATAAACTCTTATATTTTTATTATGACGCAAAATATATTTAACTTGACATACGTATTTATAAATAATTTATATTCAAATTACATCATTTCTATGACCAAGGGCGGCGTAAGGCATGGACGACGTGGGCCACCGCCTATGCCTCGCGGTCCGAAGGGCCTCGCGCCTCGAAGGTTTATGCATTACTTAAAAGCCGCGAACGCGACGAAAAAATTTTACTCGTCATAAAACGATAAATAGTTTGTCAAATTTTTATTCATAAAAATGCAGTTTCAACTGCTTTTTATTTTATAAAATCCGTCTTCTTGCGCCACCAGAGGGCCTTTTAAACAATAGGTAGTCTGTTAGCGTTGGTCAGTAGTAGTCCAAATTCAATACGAACGTTTGTTTCTTGAAAATTTGATCACAATTTAAATACAGTATTTATTTTTAATATTACCGATAAGTCATCGAAAAGAATGTGTGTTGTATTATCATTAAAAGACAAATTAAAGTATTTGTTTTGATTATCCGAATTTTTCCTTATCCGGACTACATTCATCCCCAATTAGTCCGGATAATCGAGGTTCTACTGTATTTATTTAATTAAATATAAGATTCATTTACAATAAAATTTTAAATAAATAAAGTAAAACTTTTTTTCCATAACTGTCCTATTTAATATATTGTTATGAATATCCAGCTGCAATTTATTACAAAAAAAATATCAGATACAGTTTGCAGTTAAAAATTCATTAAACAGAAAATAAGATCACCACTTCAAAAAAGTATAAATCTTTATTGAAAATCTGTCTCTCAGCAAGAACACACTGTCTGAAGGTCTATAGGAAAACCATCAAAATACAATCTGTGGAAATTCAGAAATCTCTGCCTTGAAATAGGATTTCTGTACACTCGACATTCTGGATTTGCATTATCAAGCTGGAACTCTTGCACCATGATGTCAAATGTTTATTTAACAAAATGAAATGATCTTACACTTCTATTCAAAATGGAAGAAGTGCACAACTCAATAATGCATCAGTAGAACCTCTTCCTCGAAGTCTCTTGCTGTCTTTGGAAGACCACCACTCCTACGACTACACATACTACAAGTCCTAAAATGGCTATCACCATTATTAGCAATAATTTCAAACCCGACATGGGTGGCGGGGGGTCTTCTACATGATCTGCAGTTTAAACAATTTGTTGTTATAAAACTTTCAACAAAACAGTTTCTTGATATCAAAATAAATACAAACAATCCTTATTTTAAAATTCTTATGATAAAATTACCTCTAGGAGGTGCAAAATAAGAAGCTGCTGGTGAAATTTTTGATCTGTCTTCTTCCTCCTTAACCTAAAAATTTTAAAAAATTTGCATTTTAAAATACACATTTTGTCATCAGGAAGTATAGAGTAGATTTATTTATCTAATTATGTATGTATGTATGTCATCATGACATACTTCCTGATGACAAAAAATTAGAAACGGTGACATCAAAAAAATCAATGAAATGGCACAAAAGTTTTTAACAAGTGAATGAAGTGAGGGGAATAAAGCAAGTGATTAGGCCAAGATGGGAGGAAAGTGAGCAGAGATGGAAGGATTAGGCCACCGTGCTCACTTTGAGAGAGAGAGACAGATTGAGGGAAGCAAGTGGACTTACAAGGTTGGATTTACAGGAGCTTAAGATCTTCCCACTAGCAATCAAAAAAATTTGTTTAAACTTCAAAATATTTATGGAAATATACTTGACAAATACGTGGTACGATCCAAAAGTTTGGGGACTGCAGTAATATATGACAACAAAAGCATGTATTTAAAGTTACAGCATATGAAATGGATTTTATCAAACCACCCCTACGTATTCATGTTGATTTTGCCCATGTCACATGATTAAACCGCGAGTGCTGTTGTTTTTTTTCGGAGATAGTTACTTTTGTTTTGCGACGTAATAAAAATGGAGTTTCAAGAACAGCGCTGCATCATTAAATTTTGTCAGCGTTTAGGTAAAACATCTATGAAGACTTTAAAATTGTTAAGAAAAGTGTACAGTGATTCTACCATGGTGAAATCAAAGGTTTAAAGAGGGCCGAGAATCTATCGCAGATGATGAATGCTCTGGCCGACCTTCGACTTCACGGAACGAGGAAAATGTTGAGTTGGTCTCTCAATTATCTAGACATTTTACGTCATTTGAGGGAATCCATTTGTCATAAATGGCTGCAGATCTGGCAAAGTGGAGACTGGTACCCTCTGCATGACAACGGACCTGCAAATCGGTCCCAAATAGTCACACAGTTTCTCGCCAAATCTCAAATTAATGTGCTTCCACACCCCGCCTATTCACTGGACTTAGCTCCATGTGATCTTTATTTGTTTCCATCATAAAAAAGCATTTGCAGGGACGCTGTTTTGTGTCATCAGATGAGGTGAGAGCAGCATCGCAAGAGGCCTTACAGGAGGTTTCAAAAAAATGGCTTCCAGCAAGCAATGCTTCCAGAAGTTATATTAGTGCTGGCAAAAGTGTATCGTTGCCCAAGGTGATTATTTTGAAGGTGGTTGTGCATCGGCAATATAAACTTTTTAAGGTAAGGAATTTTAAGCCAAGTCCCTGAACTTTTGGATCGTACTACGTATATGATGAGATTCCACAATATAACTTCTTGCATTTGTTAACAAAAAGGTACTTATACAGTAGACCCCCTATAACGCAGGTTCCTATAACAGAGATTCCTATAACGTGGCGAAAAAATTGCGACAGTATTCTTATAAAGACGCTAAAAGGGACTCGTAAAATGTTGTCGCCGACTCATGTCATGACAGGATTGGTCGAATCTAGACCAATAGTGGATGAGCAGTCGAACTACTTTCCACCATCCAGTGCCATGCTACAGAGAGTTTAGGTGGGTAAATTGAGTTTACTATCGTCTGTACAGTATGTAAATTAGGTACTGTAAGTCTAATACAGTACTATAATTTTATACAGTTCTTATTCAATGGCCATTAAAATTATTTATATTAATGATGTCTCTAAAGTTCAACGAATTTTTTGCAGAAAAATAACTTATCAGAAACCGCAGCCGGCGTTTGGTGCGCTGCTCCGCGACGAAAACAAGCTTAAGCAATGGCGACATTGAATGGTGCACACTCGGTAAGTAATCCTACAATTTTTTGTTTATAGCATTGTTTATACGGATTATTCCCAAAAAATTATACGTGTTTTGGAAATGTTGAGTCGAATTAGTCTAGAATTGATTAATTTTATGGAAGAAAACCTTTCAAACAGCCGTAGTCCATAAACTTTACACATGTCGGGCTGCAATTGGCTCATGTATTTAAGGATTCCTACAACGTGAAATTCGTATAACGTGGAACGTATCTACATGTTATAGGGGGGGTCTACTGTAATTAATTCCTTGTACCTCTGTGTCCTTAATATAAAAATAAAAGTTCTTTTTGTTTTACTTCTTAATAAGACTTTCTACCTTTGCTAATTCAAAACTACACCAGCAAATAAGTCCTATCTATAAACAAGGAACTTATAATTATTCAAATATTTAAAATTTTTGAGTTAGTCCCCTTTGGATTCTTCGTGATCTGTCAGGAAAGCTCTTAATGATTGGGTCGTTCATGGAGGTTGGCCTCGCATGAATATTTATAATAAAATTTTGTGACTAGTTTATATTAGGAACCATGTAATTATGAAATTGAAATGTTTTAGTGGGACATAGATTATGATTTTTTAATGATTCAATTAGAACAATGTAGATTCAACAACAACAACTTTTTTTTATGTTCAATTTTGATGGAGAAAATCTGAAAAGAAAGTTTTTTTTATGAGAATAAAAAGTTTTTCCAATTAATTTTGAGTGAGAAGGTGAATTTTGAAATGGATTTGAATTCAGTTTAAGATACAGATCTGAGTGAGGATTCTGTAAAATTCTTTTCATCTGTCTATACATATACAGATTAAGATATATACAGGCTATTCAAAAAATTTCATGGTTTTGTGATTTTATTGTAGGAAACATATTGTCATCATGATATGGATGTACAGTACATCTGTGCCTTGTGTCCACAAGTTTTTATGCAAATAGTCTTGCTTACCACTGGTTCCACACTTTGCCACTAGAAACATGCAATGCAACTTGGTAGCATCTGGAGAGAAGGCATTTTAGTCCTGCAATTTCATGAAACAGTCTGGAGTACAAAGACTCTGGAGGCTGACAGCAATGAGTTCATTTATCAATAGGATGGAGCATCTCTGCACTTCTACCATCTGGTACAAGAATACCTCAACCAAATCCTCCTGCAGAAATGGATAGGATATTTGGCAATGAAGGGTAATATATTGATGGCATGGCCTTTCAGATCTCTGGATCTGATGCCTTATCATTTTTCACATAGCTCCACAAGAAGAAATCTCATCTACATGCCACCATTACCAGCCACTTTGAATGAACTACAGGATTGCATTAACAGTGCAATTGCCACCACTGACAGACATTAAAATATTGCACTGATATCTGTCAGACAAAGAAGTCACATACACCATCTCTAAATGTCTAAAAAAACTTTGTTTTTCTAGAAATGCACTAGTATTAGTTTGAAATAAGCAGAAAAATTAAAAGAACTGCCTGGTTTAAAAAACCTGGCAGTTCTTTTTGAATAACCTTGTATATATTATTGAAATTTTTGTTCTGAATAGTCTATATTGGAAATAAATGTGCAAAGGAGTGGGAAGTTAGACTCCCTAGGGACAAAGTTCTCTATTATTTAAATATATTTATCTTTTCCATATTTTAAAACTTTGAACTGAACAGTTCAATTTTATTTTTAGATATAAAGAAGTTAAAGATAGATTATTGAAATGTATCTAATTAAAAAATTTTTTTTTAATTTTCACAAAGTGGAAAGAGTTTAAACAAAAAATAAATTTGTTTAAATAACAGAAACAGCACAAAGACAAATATTTGAAAAACTTTATAGTATATTAAATAATCATATTACCTCTCCAGGTAAATCCAATTCATACAGTTTCATAGAAATAATATCATGGTTATCTGATGAAAAAAAAAAAACAATATCTATTAAATTAAACCAAATACTTTTAAGGAATAATTCAAAATTTTAAATTAATTCATACAATGTATTCAATTTCACGATGTTAATTCATTTCTGAAAATCCATAATATTGTGAAAATAAATTGTTTTTGGCAAGTTGGTTCAAGATCTTAGTTTAGTTCTGTGGAAATGATTTTAAGTTTCATTTCCATCTTTAAAACATGGTTTTACAACAAATAATAATTTTGTATAAAATATGAAATAAATACTAAAATATGGTTTTTAAAAAATTGACTCCAATGGATTATTTTATTTATATTATTTTTTAAAATCAAAAATGCAGGTTTCTTAAAATGATTACATTTACATCCACTGATTAGTTTATACTATAGATGCATAGAATACAAGATGCTAAATGTTTTAATGTAGCCTATTTTTGCATAAATAATTTTACATTAATATACTGATCATCAGTCATATTTATACAAATTTATACTATGGTCCTATTTGCTTAAACTGACTCTTATTAATTTTATAAAAATATGTGATTTATAATTTTTAATTCTTTGCATGTAAATCCAGTTACTATAATGAAAATTATCCTCATCAGAATTTCTGAAGGTGCCAACCTATCAAATTATTTGAATTGCTTCAAAAGTATTAGTTTAGTTACTAAACATATCATGATTGCTGTACAAAATACATAAAGTATATTAAAGTTTATTATCTGAAAAGATATTTTTTTTCTTATTAGTCAACACAAAAATAAATATGCAATCAGTAAAAATTTCATGCAAAATAAAGTACAGGCATCCCTTGTTTAACATAGTAGTTATGTTCCAAAAAAGTGCTGTGTAATGTGAATCCATGCTATATGAAACAAAGGACTAATACAAAACATGGGGTGGGTTAGATTCCAAAAGTTAACAAAAGTATACTACTCTTCTTCATTACTAAAAGAAATAATTATTGATTGCTTTAATAAACATAACAATCACAATCAAAACTACTGTATTATGCATTTAATATTGATTTTAGTTGAATGAGGGAGTTTTCTTTTTACAAAGTATCATCATTTTCTAAGCTTTTTTATTGATCTTGATTAGAAACATCAGCAACATCTTTTTTTTTTATGGATGACATAAAAAAAATATTTTATTAATCAAAAACTTGTTCTAGCAGGTCATATTTGTTCAGTTGAGTACCAAGCAAAGTTTTTTCCAGAATTTGTGTGCGAGTTGGAAACTGTTCAAATATTAAGATACCGCTGTATTTCATTCACCATTTTTATGAATGATCAATTTTCTACAGTTAAAAAAAAAGTTTAATAACACTTATCTAAAAATGTTTAAATAAACTTTACTGAATACAAAGATTATTCAATAAAAAGAAAACACAGTGACAGTGTTAAGGGCTAAAGTCTGACAGTGATACCTGGTTGATAGGAAATCTAGGATAAGGAAGAAGAAAATTCAGTTTTCATTAAAGTAAACATGATGAAAGAAACAATACAAATTGAAAATTTCAATATTCTGAAATCCTTGGGAAAACTTGAGACAACACACATGCTTACTTGAATAAAAAAAAATATATATTGAATAACAGAGTTTACACTTAAAAATTGTGAAATTTTGTAGGGACAATTTCCCAAACCATGTTGTACAGGAGACTTCCCCAATTTTTGAACCATGTTAGAGCAAAACAATGTTGTATAAGGGATACCTGTACTGTACCATACATATGCCATAACAGTACAGGTATCCCAATAAGGGATACCTGTACTGTACCATACATATGCCATAACAGGCAAAGATATTGCAATCAATAATCAAATAATGTACAACTGGGACACATTTAGTAAGATGTTGGATGCATACATAGTGTCTTTCAGGGTTTACATTTGAGTAAATTTTAGACTTCACATATATATCTTTGAAATAAAATGTTGAGAAGGCCTTCTCAACTATTAAAATAATGCAAATGCATTTATGAGTCTTAATCCATATAGCATATTTTAGTTCTACATAGTTTTATACTGTTGGATTTATACATAAATATCAATATATGTGGAGCAGTCTCCTGACTTATATCATGAATGCCCACATATTCCAATTAGCAGCAATCTATACTGAAACTATTGTAAAGCAAAGACCCATGCATTGTTTCACATTTTATGTTTAATATATACATTATTCCCTCAAACTAAACAACATTTAACCTTCAGAAAATTTTAATATTTTCTTAAAAATTTAATAAATAATCCTTTGTTTTGGATAAGAATTCATAAACTTTTTTTATAAATAAAATCTATCATAAATTATCATCAGAATAAAAAATTCAAAAAATAAAATTAAGCTCCTAAGATAGTAAGCACAAAAAAATGCTACTATAATATAGTGAATAATATAATTAACATTAGATAAAAAATTATTAATGCAGTTATATGTTACTTAACAATGGATTGCTTATAGAACTTAACTCTCACATTAAAATGGAGCTGAAAAATTCATAGCCATCATACCACTTTTATGCTTAGATACATAAATACTTATAGGCTATATGTAACAATTATTACATATATGTATAGTAGACATAATGCCATATAAAGGTTATCTTAATAATTACAATACCTTGATTGCATACATACAAAAGATATAAATATTTTGACAGTGCTTTTTTTAATACATATGATTGAGAACAGAATCATATATGTTTTGACATCTTTCTTTTTCTTGACTGATATGGGCATTATTAAATAAGAAACCAATTCCCTACATTTAGTGACGAATGCAGTTTTAAATCGAACAGGATTATTTATTTTTATATGATAAATATAATCATATAAAGATAATTCTGTTTCTTTTAAAATTAAATTTTGAGAATAGGGCTAATTTTTGAACCTAAACAGGCATTTATATTTCAGATCATATGCCCATTTGTTATTAAAAAAAACTATCTTCAGAAATTTCTCTATATAATTATTCAAACATTAAATGAAAAATAATAATCTAAATATTCTAATATGTAGTATTAATATTTGTTTCTACAACGTATTAATTCTATATTTATATATTACATAATCTGTAACAGAAATAGAGCAACAAACTGAATTAAGAACTTAATTTTCCAACTTAAATATTATTAATTTGATTATCTATCAAATACCTGATAAGTCACCAGTTGCAGCTGATGCTCCAAAATAATAACCTGTGGGTAAACGAACACCTTCCACTTTAAAACACTCTTTGAATGCTTTCTTTCCTTCAATATCAGTTGATATCTAAAATTAATACATAAAAATTTCACACAAGCATATTCAAATTAAACTTTTAAATATAAAAAATTTAATTAAATCAATATTTCTGTTATATATGTCATTTATAATTAACAGAAATAATGAATCATTATTTATTAATTTATTACTTAAGAGTTTATTTTTATAAAAATAAACTTTTACAGATCATTAATTTTCACACTACCAGATTTATATCAACCACTTCAATAAACACTATCAAATTATACATCTCAGTTTTCAATTGGCGTATGGCTTTTATGGATAGCGCTATAAAATTCTTTATGACTGGTTGAGATGAACTTCAGCTGAAAATATAAGAATAAGAAGATAATGATGTGGTAAGAAGCAGCTCCTAGCAATTGCATTCAAAAGGTAAAGTACTGTACATTGCCAAAATGTGTGAATGCCACTTATGTGGAGAGATCTACAAGACTAAAATGAGTATAATTTTTAATTCCTGTAATTTGACATTTATTTGGTAGATGGTACATTGTCTTCTCTTTATTTTGTACTAGGTTTGAAGTTTATCACTGATGACAGAAATTTTCAGTAGAATTGCAATTGCACTCTGGCAACCTTACCGATGACAAATTCTGTCATTTCTCTTAATTGATCCATTCATTATAAAACCACTTAATTTTACAATATTAATGGTAATGATTATAAATTTTGAATTTCTATTCATCAGAACAACAAATAAAAAACAAATTATCAAGGATTAAGAAACCATGATTTAAATTCAAACAGAAACAATTATACTTTAATAGAGTGCAAGACAAATGCTAAAAAAGCAAATTTATTGACATATTGGTAAATTAAAAAACTTAAGAAGTTTCAATAATCATCTTAAGTTTCATAGACTCAGAATCTAAATTATAAATTTTAGGTAAAGGAAAAATTACATTCCATTATTTGATATTGCTAGTTATAAATGATGAAAAATTCAGTTTAGACATTAAACAATTATAATAATTTCATTATAACAAAAATGTTCTTCAAATTTATAAAATGGAATTTGTGAAAATCTGGGGGTTAAACCTGTTTCTTTATATAAATATGAACTGTTGCTAAAAAAACATTATTGTTTTACTGTAGACAACAAAGCCCATGCTTATTCTAATAATCAAATGATAATACTTGATTAATTTTTATGGCTAGGACTTACCAAATTAATAAAATACAAACTAGATAATTTTGATTAAAAGGTAACTGGACTAATTGTTCTTTCTCTTAAATTAAGAGAGATAACAATTAGTCTAGTTATCTTTAGTCCAAGTTATATAGTATCTAGTTTATTAATTAATAATTGAATGATAATACCAGATTAAAATATTCACTTAATTTCACAATAGAATACATATTTTCCACAAACATAAATCTAGATAAAAAGTTTTATTTTTCAGATTAACATAAGCTTAATAATGATTCATAAGTTGCTTATCTTAACAGATATTGTATGAGAAAATTATAGTTTATCTTAAAGTATACCATAACATTTTTTTTTCAATTAACATTCTTGTATTTGTTTTCCTTCGGCTTTTAATCTCATACTGCAAAAAATTTTTAAATGAAAGTTCTAAAAGATTATCATCAGTTAACATCACTTGCAGTATTAAGTGATCATGTCCTTGAAAAAATCCAAGTTGCTTTAGTCAAATTTAAATATGATCAATACATAAATTCTAATTTAAAATCTTGATGTTTTTATTCTAAAATTATTACAGGTAGCAAAGTATTATGCCTGAAATTCAATGTCCAAAAATTGAAAACTGATTATTATTTATTATAGAATTCTGAATTAAAAGGTATTGTAGTATGTTCTGCAGTATTCTTTTAATTGTTATAATCTTTGAATCTCAGCACTTATCAATATACGTTTCTGTTATTGCTTGTTATGGAAGTCAAATCCTGTTAATCTTCTTAATTGGGAATGTTTTCTACCCTCAGCCCTACATCATCTTTAACCAAAATGGTTGTAAACTTCTAGAAATTTACAACCATTATTGGCTGAAGCTGACTTCCTTAAGTCAGCTGACTTCCTTAAGTCAGCTTCAGCCAACATTCCCAATTGAGAAGATTAACAGGATTTAGCTTCCATAATAAGCAGTGAAAGAAATATATAACTTTAATTTTAAACCAAATAAAGAATCCATATAGTAATACACAGATTAAATGGAATAAAAGTATTATAAAATGAAGTGTTATTTAGAGTTATTTTATACAATTTCATTCAAATTACTATGAGTGCAATTTTAACCCAAACTGAAACTAAATCCAATCCAATCCAAACTTTAACCAAATAAGCTAATCTCAGAATTATTTGACTTCAGATTTGATTCAGACCAACCTCCAAACCTTCCTCAAGAAGGTTTTGGAGACCAATCTAAAATACAGTAGAGCATCGTTTATCCAAAAGTCAATTATCTGAAAGAATTCCAGTTGGCAAATTTAAATTTTCGCCAGTGCTGTGGCGCTGCAGTCTTTGGCTATGTCTTGGGCTACTCAAATATTTTACGTTTTTGATACTAAATTAACTTCTGAAGTATAATTTTTTATTGTTTTTATATTTTTCAATATATTTATTTTGTTTGTACAAAATAAAAAAATAATTTTTAATGATACAATAGTCTTCGTTAGGCTTAACATCGACAAAAATTCAATGCGAAGCGACACGCAACAGAGAAAAATTTCAACATGCGATAGGTTAATATATTTTTTCATACATAATCGGTTATCCGAAATATCAATTTTCCAACAACCCCAGTCCCCAATTGATTCAGATAAACGACGCTCTACTGTATATATTTTTATAACAATAATACAATATAAAATGAATTAAACTGTTTGAATTTTTATGCATATAATCTATATATTATATAATTATGGTGTGGTTTTTTATATATCTGTTACTCATACAAAATAGAACCTTTTCATAACCTGTTCCACTATATCACCATAGACAAGTAATTGCAATTTAAAATTAGTGTATAACCTGTTTCATCATATAATACACACTCTTTTCAAAATTATTTAAAAAAACATAACCATTGAGTTATATGCATTAAAATACAGTAATACCTATTTATTTCAAACAACAGTAAGTAATAAAATAGAAAGTTTATTTAAATTTAATAGTAAATTTAGTTAAAATGAATATAAATAATTATTTCTAAACTTTTAAAAAGGTAAAATATAGAAAACAGACTCCAAGCTAAAACACTCAACTGGCATTGATTCAGTGTTTTAGCTAAGAACTAGAAACTTTATTTGCAATTTATATGCTAACTAAAAAAAAATGCATTACCGTAAGAACATCTCTTTCATAGCGAATAGATATATGGGTATCATGGTCAGAACCTCTGAATTTTGCTTCACAACCAGCAATTTCAGTGTGTGTTCCATCACGGTCATGGTCATACTGTAATGTTCCATTGTTAACCATAGCTGAAACATATGGATGTCCATGCTAAAAAGAGAATGAAAATATAATAAAATGACTATACGTTTTATTAAAATATAATACTTTTCCTGCAAAAATAAAAAAATCATGATTTGAACCCAGAACAACCAAAGCAGGCAGGCTTATAGGCCAACACATAACCCTACACTGCTAGTGTCTTTAGAAATATGTTTGTGTTAGAGCATATAAATTTAATAACTTAAAATTGGTTCTTTTTTCTTGGAAGTGCTTTTTACTATTATATATAAGCTTAATTTTACATAAACTTTTAAATATTTCAAATAAAAGTCAGACAATCATTTGGCATACTTTCCTTTTAAGATAAAAGAGACGAAGATAAAGAAAATTCTTAACTCAGAGTATTAATAAGTAATTTATAGTTAAAATATGAATTTTTGTGTCTAATAAATAAATTAATGGCAACAGAAATTGGAGACAGCTCCACATTTCTGTTTGCATTATTTATTATGAGAAAAACTAATCTCTATTGTTATACTTACATCTCAGTATACAAAAAGATTTGTTAAAGTAAAATCAGAAGATTAAGAAGTTATTATTTATTGAACTTCATTACTCAAACTTTTGCCATAGTTTAATTTAACATATGTCTTTAATACAGGGATATAATCAGAAATCTGGGTTTGGGTCACTTGCATGGCTGATGCTTGAGTAGACTTACTGTACGTTTGTATATTCAACGGTTGACTCAGCAGTGAATTTTCCGTTGAGTCCCTCCGTTGAACGTGCTGACGTCACGTTTTGCAGAAAAAAGAAACGCTTTCGTTGAGAGGTCGCTTTTCAAGATGGCTGACTTAAGTAACAAGGTGGCAATTGTGACTGTTTTGCTAAATAATTAAAGTAACTTGCTTAACCATTATTCGAATAAATCCTTTTATTCAAATGAACCCATATCTGTATCATTTTCTTGTATACTGGGTCTTTCTTTAATAATTTTAATTAATTTCTTGAATATTTATATCATTAGGAAGACTTAGCCAAATATCAGTTGTAATCAATTTTGGACAAATGAAAAAAATCTTAATATTTCAATATTGTCCAAATTATCCAACATAATCGTGCAATCACATATTTTATTATATACAGATCGTTCATTAATCTGTCTGCTATTACAGATTAGTTAACCATGTTAGTTTGTTGAATACTCAACTGTCTTTCAGGTTGTTGAGACCATTGAGCTCAACGGGGAAACAGCACTGACATCACTAGTCTCAACAGAGAACTCAACGGTCCATTTAGAAATGTTGTTCTCTTACCATTGAGTCAACCATTGAATATAGAAACGTATGGTTAGTATAGGTTGGTTGTTTATCAAACACAGTAGCCCATGATCACTAGCAATAGATTGTAAAGGAGCTACCATATCATTAACGCAGCTCCTTACATGTCATATGCAAATCAGTGATAATTTACACATGATAATACTCAATAAGAAATACTGAACAAGAACAAGTATTGAATTTTATTCTTTACCTCATGGCTGTTCATATAGCCAAGTATTTGAGTCTGACTTTGTTTCATCCAGTGGTCAACTGCTTGTGACATTCTTTTTTTTAGGTTGTTTGCTTTTAAACTTGAAAGAGATTGCAGTGGTGGTCAGCAAAGAGCTCCTCAACCTTTGCTGACCATCACTGCCTCTTATGACTACATCCCTGTTTATAGTAACCATTGTAACATGGTAAATACAGCACACTACTCCAATCCTTAATAATAAGGCCTCTTAATTATCTGACATGCCCACCTTATAATATGTTTGTCTCTTATTCATGTTTTTTTAAAACATACAGTAAACTTGTAACATTAAAGTTAATAAAGAATTAATTAACCTGTCCTGCGTTGTTTCCGAAAATTTTTGTGTTGACCTCATTGACCTGTGTGGGCGATCCCAAATATTTTCGTGTCTGTATCAGAACATTTTTGATACTAGATGTTGCTATGCATCAATTTTTATATTAAAATGAACTTTTAAAATATAATTTTTTTGTTTTTATATTTTTCAATACAGTAGACCCCCCTATAACACGGTAGATACGTTCCATTTTATATGAATTCCGTGTTTTATGAATCACTTAAATATATGAGTCAATCACAGCCTGGCATGTGTGCAGTTTACAAACTACGGCTGTTTGAAAGGTTTTCTTCCATAAAATTAATCGATTCTAGACTGATTTGACTCAACATTTCCAAAACACATACAATTTTTTGGGAATAATCCATATAAACTATGCTATAAACAAAAAATTGTAGGATTATTTACCAAGTGTGCACCGTTCAATGATGCCATTGCTTAAGCTTGTTTTCGTCATGGAGTGACGCATCAAACAGTGGGTGCGTGCTTTCTGATAAGTTATTTTTCTGCAAAAAATTTGCTGAACTTTAGAGACATCATTAATATAAATATAATTTTTATGACCGTTAAATAATAAATGGTTTTTAGTAGGTCCGCTGCTCGTTTAAAGTCAATGGTTTGTGCAATATCCGCTATTGGTCTAGATTCAACCAATCCTGTCGTGACACGAGTCAGTGATGATGACATTTTACCATATTATATGAGTCTCTTTTAGCGTGTTTATACAAATACGATCGCAATTTTTTCACCGTGTTATACGAATCGTATTATATGAACCCTGTTATAAGAGGGTATACTGTATATTTATTTTGTTTGTGCAATATAAAAACATTTTTAATGACACAGCAAACATGATTATTATTTTTAAAAAAAATTTTGTTATGCTTAACCGATGAAAATTCAACATGGCACAGGCAACTGAAAAGAATTTCAACATTGAATAGGTTAAATATACAATTATTATATCACTATACATAATTTCACAACAACAATGCTTAAATGCTAAGTTATGTCTTCAAACATCAATTTACATAATTTCAATTAAAATGTCTGATGATATTTTTTAAAAATTAAAAAAATTGTAGAAACTAGGTTGTCTTCAGTCCTGTCATGTCCAATCACCAAGAACAAATTAAAATTATGTATATTTTTTTAATTAGCTTGTCATAAGTGAATGCTTTAACTGTTTTACATAATTTTGCAGAGGCATAATCTCTAATAAAAGGTAATCTCTGTAAAGAAAGACTGTTTTGTTCCTGTTGATTAGACACGATGGAACTGAAGACAACTCAGTTTCTTCAATTTTATATCAATTTACATTTTATGTAGCAAATTTAATAATTGAAATGGCTGACATATTAAGCATCTCTTAACCAAGGAAAAAGAATAGAACAATATTGATAACTACATGAGAACATATATACATGTAAAATAATTAAATTATATATATGATTACATTAGAAATAGATAAAAATTACTTACATTATGAGGTCCATTTTGATTTGCATATGTATCTAAAAATACTCCCAAACCATGGAAAATCTCCTTGCTGCCAAAAACTCTGCCTAAATAAATATTTATTACATGAGTATTAATTATCCACATTCTAAGCAATGAGAATTTCTTCTTTGAGTAAAACATTTAAAATAAAAAAATTAATATATCATCTTAAATAATAATAATACCATGTTCAAGATATAATTTCAGATGAATGAAAATTATAATCAGATATAATATTTACATAGAGAAAGCTACGGATTTATACAATAAAAATATAACTAATTTCTAATTTTGTAACAGAAGAAAGTCTAAAAAAATTTTACATTTATTTGTTATTTGCAAAAACAAAAATAAACACACATTAAAAATTACTTCATAATTTAAAGACTAATAAGCACATCTAATTTGCTGCTAATTTTCATTTATTTAAATCTTTTAACATTAGTATAATACATTATTATTTAATTTTAACATTATTTAATAAACAAAAATGAACTGTGCATCCAAAATGATTAATACTGTGTACTCCATTATATATTATAAACACACAGTAATATATCAATATAAATGTTTAATACATTTTCCACTTGAAAATTTAAGAAATAAGGAATTCTAAGGATCCTTAATAAGTCCCTTGAAATTTTAAATGGAAACAAACAGCAGTTAACAACAAAATAATCATTTAGCTTAAAAGTGAGCTTTGAAATATTCTTCTTAGTAAATATCAGGAAATAAATTCATTAACCTATTAATGCCAAAGTTAATTGACTGAACCTTGAAACTGCTCTCTGAGATTTTCAAAATTACTTTTAATTTGTAAATATCTCACTTAAAACAGTGTAAAATTCTTCTCAGAACATACAATATGCATGATAAACTAAAATTTTACTAGATCAGAACAACAAGAAGTTAATAAAAAATTTAATTTTTCTTAATAAATTGTTGTCGTTTAAAATGTCATAAAATTTTTCACAAGAATTCGTTAAATTATATTTTACACACAATATTGCTTTTATAGTCTCAACACTTAATTGTGATTTGTCTGATGTCCACACTTTATTCAGAGTATAAAAAACGCGTTCAGTCGGGGCATTTGTTCCTGGGAAGGACAGTGTGTATTTCCCAATTTTTTATGCGTTATTGTATAGAACATAGTTTATTTCAAAATTATGAAATATTTCTAGCCATTTGTTCTCTGTTGAGATTTTTGCCGATGCCAAGATTTAACCTTTTCCTTATCAATATATTTNGCTTAAGATTGTATTTATATATTTCATATTATGTAAAATTTACAGAATTACTTTGTAACTAAAAATTATATTAAGTATGCGATAAGTTTTATATATCAGTAACTTCTATAGATATTATTTGAATCTATATAATATTTACTGATATTTGATAGGAATTTCTTACAAGCAATTTAAAAAAAAAGATTATGTTTTTCCTATGCATATATTATATTATATGTATACATATACATATAGTAGGAAAAAGGATATTTATCTGAAATTTAAAGCTTCAAGGTCATATAGTTAAATATCTGATCAGGAAAAACTTTTTCCTTTTAAATATACTTCTATAGTCTGAAGTGTATTCTCTTACAACTTTTTTATGTTGCAATTTAAAGCATTTAGAATATAGATTGATGGATTTGTAAATAACAGTTTACTTGAATTCTTTTTCTTTTTAACATTTATTCTTTGTGTTTATACTGCAAAAAAAGAAATGAATTTATTAAAATTTTTTCCATAAAAAGTTATATTTTGTATCCTTCATAAAATAAGATTTCATAGTTGTTGTTGTATAAGAGAGTACATAACCATTGATAGTTTTTTCAAAGGAGTGACAAACACTGTATTGAAGGAGAAATATCTAAGAAGAGAAAATATTTCAAAAGGTGTGGCAATTAAACGTCTTTTCAAAAAAATATTCCAAAGTGACAAATTACATAAGTAACAGTTAAAATGATTCACATAAAAAATTATATTATGTATTTAAAATAAAAATTTGCATTTTATATTTATTCCACTGAAAAAATTCATAAACTGCTTTTAATTTTCATAATGAAGTCACCATACAACATGAACACTATTATTAAAAATATCTCTAAGTTTGCCATTCAGCAACAGAATATATTTTAACAAGTATTTTTAAATTTCTCTTATATACCAGAAGAGATAAACAATACTGCTAAGCCAATATTATTTAGAATTTCATAAAAAGGTGTTTTAAGAATTTCACAATTAATTATGAACAGTTTGTAAAAATAAGGAAGATGTGTGTCTAAGAGTTTTGATATTAAGTATGAATAAGTTCTGTAAATTAAATTTAAAATATACTGAACCCATTGTTGTTAAAGAGAATGAAGTTTATATATTTAATTATAGATTAATGTTGTTACTCATGATTCATATGTCATGTCTTTTAAGATTAATCACTTCATTACTTTTGTTATGTCACTACTTGCTACTGTTGATTATGTTATCACTTAAGATATCTAATATATGCTATATATCAATTTAAATTTAAATGATGAAATAACAGTCAAAATAATCCAATGTCATTCATTTAAATTATTATGATTTATCCATAGTATAGTTATAAAATAAATTGAATATTCTTTCACTTCTAATCCATATGAACTTGACATTTTTCAATATCAAGTTTATATTTTCATGTAAAGAATGGAGGTCTAAGGGTATTGAGATGTAAAGTCTGATTTATAGTCATCAAGATGAGAAAATGAAATGGTTATACCACTTTCTTTTCTCATTTATAATATATCAGATCATACATTGATCCTGAAAGAATCAAGAATGTTTTTGGACTTGAAATTTAAAAAGATTAATCTTGATGTAAAATTAGTGAAACATAGAAAGACCAAATTTCTGAATGAATTAGAGAGCTAAATCTAACAAACCAAGACTTGGTCTACATTTTAACTAATTTTTATAAAAATTAGTTAAAATAAAATACATAAAATAATTGAAACTTATTTTAAACATCTATATAAATATATATTTATTTAAATAAAAAAAAACAATAAAAATATAATACCTAATTGTAACGGATCTTTGGCATACCAAATGGCTAATCCATCACCATAGAGTTCTTTTCCTTTACCATGTACGGCAAATTGAACTTGTAATTCCCAATTCCGAACAAAGCATGGCTGTAAAATAGTTAAATTAACAATATGATTTACTCAATGATTATCCAATACATTTATGTAATTAGTACACAGAGATTAACTTACTATGAGATACTGTTTTACTGAAACAAAATAAAACTAAAATAGTCATAGTATACTTTAGTAAAAAGTTTTTTTTTAATTTAAAAGAAATCTACAGTTAGTTATTTAACATATCTAACACAATGATCACAAACTTTAGTGACAGTTTAGGCACAGACAAGCCTTCAACATAGGGCTGTTTGTTTTGCTTGTCAATATTCAGTCTTGAGCCCAAATCCACAAACATCTCATAAACATAAGATACAATACTGCATCTCACTAACATCATAGAGTTACTCAAAACTAATACTATTTTACATTTTGTATTCATAAAACACATCATAGCATTTATTGATATAAAAAAACAGAAGAAACTGATAAATGAGAGTATGTCCTTTGACATCACTAGTGACTACTTCTGTTTAAATAGAGCCAATAAGAAAGTACAGTAAACTCCCGATTATCCGGTTTGCGGATTATCCATGCATGAATTTAATTTTAAAAAAATAATTATATATGTATATATTTTTTAAATAGTTACTCGCTTTCATGTTTACGCAACCTATAAGTGTGCACGTGTCCGTATTTAGATGTTTGAAGTGGGTGGTGAGGGTATCTGAAGTCAGCTGGGCTGGTTTTAGTTAGGCCGCTTCTTTCGCACCAGACGTTTCTTTTCGGAGGAGAAAACGATAGCGAGTACATTTATACAAAGTTTTGTTTAGTTGCATGTTATAATACATATTACAATTTAAAATTTGATTATATGTATGTATGTATAATACATATTATACATAATATTTTTTTCAAATAACTCTCCCACAAACACTTTTAGTGTAAAGTTAAGTAAATTAAGATGTTTTTTTAATTTTCTGATAAGTACTTAAAATGCCTAATAATTGAAAGAAAGTCGTACTTACTATAAAACAAAAACTAACATTAATTGAAAAATTTGAAAAAGGTAAATCTACATGTTGTATTTTAGAAATAAATATAGTTCAGATTATCCATGCCACCTCTCCTCACCATTAGCCCAGATAATCGGGAGTTTACTGTATTTCTTAATGATGTATTTTCAGTATTTTATTGCTTCATATGTTTGTAATGTTTGAAGAAAAATAGCATTTCATTTCATCAGAATTAAAATAAGTATGAATTACATTTAGTTAGGTATTATCTATTATTCATATAAATAATTTAAAACTCACTTCTACTGAAAACAGTAACTGATTAACTTAGTAAAATTTAAAAGTGAAGGGAAATCTGGAACTATTTCTGAAAACAATGCTAAAAATCAACTGTTTTCCACTCTACTAAAAATGGCTAAAAGTGCATAAAACACAAGAAATGCCATTGCACTGACTACTTCCAGAACACAATCAGAATCATGCTGTGCACTCTTGCATGCCAAAAAATTTAGAGACCAAATATCTTGCAAGAGTCACAATTAGAGATATGGTTCCTTTAACTTTTATGGTTGTCTAGAAATGTCTAAAATTTGGGAGTTGAAACCCCTCGAGGATTCAGAACAGCAATTTTATCAATATATAAATTGCTGTTTATTTAAATTCTTTTAATTAATAAACTAACTCATTCAAAAGCCAAAATAAAAATTTTATTTATTGAAGAATATGTATATGTTTATTTATTCTATCAATTACTTACACAAAACAGTTTAACAAAACAGAAAATAAATTTCATTTTAAATTCAAACATAATATGTAAAAATGATGAAAGTTTAGAAAAGTTTAATAACTAACCACATTATTCCATAAGCTTCCTCTTTTACTTTGCTGATCAGGAGTTAATCTTATATAATTTGTAGTAACCATGGTGCTGCCAACAAAATCCCAATTTGGAATAGTCATGCCTGAACCTTAAAAAAAATTTCAACTTTAATCTTATATTGTCAAAATTAAATAAATTGGTTAAATTATAACACACACAATTGCAATTATAAATCTAATACCTACAAGATCAGAATGGTGCCATATTATCAGACATTTTTGTATTTTCACAAAATTTGATAACCTTATATGTAATCTGAACATTTCGAACATTCCTTTACATTTTTTATCCCAGTACTGCTGTACACTTTCAAGTCCAATCCTGAAAGAGGTTTGCACCAACTCAGCAATTGTGACAAACCTGTATTATCTATCTTGTTTCAGGTCAGTCACTTTCACTGTGATCTGACACACACAAGATGCTGTAATAAAATTTAAGTGTGATGCTACTGAGAAAATGATTCATTTGAGCAATTTTTCTCAATTGAATCACTCTCAATCCTATAGTTGATTTTCTGGCACATAGCAACTTGCACAGACAGTCTCCATCTTTGCCTTGATTTCCACCTGTGGTCTTTACCATATTACATGTCCAAACAAATTCTGGTTTGCAGAATACTAGAACATCAGGTTATTATTGGACAATACCAGATTATCAACTACTTTTCAGAGGGTGCCATATTACCAGACATTCCAAATTATCAAAACATAATGAACTGCTGTATTGTCATTATTAAGACATACAGAAAAAAAAACTTTTAAATTTGCTAATTTAATTAAATTTATCAATAAATATGAAGAATAAAGTACTTTATTTTTAAATTAAAATTTTTACTACAGTACAGAAAATGTAGATATAAAAAGTAAACACCCGCAGATATCTGTCATATTTATTTGCGGAAATATGTGATGAATACTGGTTGTGATGCAATTCTAGAAACACACAAATTTTGAAAATATCTGTTTCAAAGAATAAATAATTATATTGTTTCATTACTATTCTGTCACATTGTAATTTTAATAACTCTTTCATGTATTATTTATATGCTTTTTCCTGTTTGAATAATCTTTTAATGTATAAATTGGTTGTCAAACTTTTTAAGCTTGGTTTTACTTCATGACAAAGGCTTCCTTTGTCATTAGTGGCATTTTCCAAATATATATAAAAATAAATAATTTGAAATTTTTTCAAACTTTTAATAGAAAAAACTATGTTCAATGTTATCTCAGGATATTCTTCAATATTTTAATTTTTGAAGTTAGACTATTTACAAAAACATAATATTTTTGAGTCTATCATTAAATCCTTTTCACACAACTGCAGAAGACACAGTTATATTGGTTAGAAAATAAAACTTTTTTAAAAGACAAATAATAAAAGGTAAAAAATTCACAATGTTTAAAAATGATCAAACGCCAGCCTTTTATTGTAGGATCTGACGTTTTTTACATTAAAAACTTAAGAATCTTCTCACCAACTATCAAGTCCTTTTCCAAATTTTATAACTGGTTCATCCCTGAAGTGGTAGTTATGAGTAAATCATTTTCATTTGCATAAATTCACAATGTTCAATGTTAACTCAGGATATTCTTCAATATTTTAATTTTTGAAGTTAGACTATTTACGTTTGATCATTTTTAAACATTATGAATTTTTTACCTTCTTCTAACCAAATATTATACCTTATTTTTATATTTTACCTTTTCACACAACTGCAGAAGACACAGTTATATTGGTTAGAAGACAAAACTCTAGTTTTATCTTCTAACCAATATAACTGTGTCTTCTGCGGTTGTGTGAAAAGGATTTAATGATAGACTCGAAAATATTATGTTTTTGTAAATAGTCTAACTTCAAAAATTAAAATATAGAAAAACTGTTTAATCTTAAATTGTTGAAATTCAATATACTTGACTCAAACAATCTCAATTTAAAAAATCCTAATATTTTAATATCTCATGGAAGTATTTTAAGACTTCTATTATAAGAGTATAATTCTAATAGCTTGTAGGATATTTATATATACATATAAAAAGTTTTAATTATTATTATGTAATAAAACAAAAAAACATTTAAACATGTATAATGTCCTTATATTTATTTTTATCAAGATAATTTTCTGAATATAAAATAAACTACAGTAGAACCCCTCTAGTCCGCCCTCGGCTAGTCCGTCACTCCAGTTAATCCGACCATGGTCGGACTCGAGAAACTTGTCCCGACTCGTCAGTTACTCACCGTCCGTGGCGTTCTTCTGTGTTCATTATAGTATATGTTTTACATTGTGTGTACATGTACAGTTTTGTGTGTGTTTTCAACATGTCAGGAGTGAAACGTAAACACGTTACTCTTTCATTAAATGAAAAATTAGCAGTGCTACAAAGACTGGACAGAGGGAAGATTGTTTGTTTACTTTTTTCTGATAATCCGACCTTTTTTGCGTTCCGACCATATCCCCAGTCCCAAAGGTGACGGATTAGAGGGATTCTACTGTATATGTTTCTTTTATACAGTATACTTCAAATGCTAACTTTGAATAAAAAAAAAGTATTTAAACAAGTGTAAATTTATTATTAAATCTTAAGAAAGGCATAATAATAAAATCAAAATGCATTAAAAAACACAATCAAGTAAAAAGTCACCGACTGACTATATATACAGGAATCAGAGTTTCAAATTTTCAGGGTATTTCTTAACTTATTTAAAAGTGCTCTAATAATATATATTTTTTGTTTAGCATCCTAATTAATTGAGTCTCATTTAATCAAGATTCCACAATATCAGAAGTAAAATATGGAAGAATATTTTGTCAGCAAAGACAAGAAATGTAGTACATCTAGTACAATGGATTGGGTTTCCCAAAACATTGCTCATATTACAGAAACAATTTATTAATTTTTTAATTTAAATTGTAACTTATAAGCTACCAGTCTTTTGATTTACAAAAGCTACTTCTGGAAGAAAAGAACTAATCAGGAGTGGGATCCAGATCAATCTTTTCTTCCAGAATATTCTACATTAATTTAATTCTAATTATTACATTTAATATGAGATGATAACTTAATTGTTCATCTTTAGTCCAAATTATATATTATCTGTATATTTAATTAGCCAAGTTATAGTTAAATAATCAATCCTGCATCATCATATGATTATTGGCATTTTTTATAAACTGAAAAAGATTTGTGGCAATTCTGTGTCAAGCAAGTTTATCCATACTTAACTTAGATCAATTGGTAACTATATAGTGACTTTTAAATGTTCAAGTGAAAAGAAAAGTCATATGCCATAGCTAAATCAATAAATAGAAATGATTAAGTTTAGTGAGAAGGGCATATCAAATGCCAAGATAAGCAAAAAACTAAGCCACTTGTGCAAACAGTTAGCCAAACTAACTTAAGGAAAGTTTTTGAAGGAAATTAAAAATGTTATTCCAGTGAACACACAAAACATGTTCATAACATATGCAAACAGTAATTTTTACCCTCCAAAAGATCAAATGTATATTAATGTGACATCATCACAATACCTAGCTGCAATTTTTAATTATATTTTAATTTTAAAAAATGATATGACTTCTGATCCAGACCTGAAGTTTGTATATAGTTAATCAGAGTCTTTGGCCCTAGCTTTTTACATCTGGTTTAATTTTCATCTATCTAACTCCATTCCCAAGATTAACAACGGACAGATGGCTAGATGGACTACAGTTTGATTATATAGGTCTGTAATTTGAAAATTTCAGCCCAATGAGGATGTGTCTGAATAAATGAAAACTTATAGTAATCTTAAACATATAGCATAATTACTTTTATCTACATGAAAATAAAATTAGTTAAAGCAGCTTTGTGTCAAATGCTAAATTTTTTTGAAATTATTTAAATTTATCTTTCATTTAAAGTATAATGGAATTGTTTCAAAAGGTAAATAGCTCTATTTACCCTTGTGAATATGATGTATCTACAAGATAAAAATTATTTTAGTGGTTTACTCTTCTTTTCTATTTGGTCAAAGATAATTTAGATATCTTCTGTTATGCTTTATCAGCTGAAACAAAATGATAAAATGAAGTGAAATAACATTGATGTAACTTGATAGCTTCATACTTCTATTATCATTTTTAATAAAATATGCAAATTTTATTGTCATCATTCAATTTTATCTTGAAAAATATTTCAATTAAGTTTATGTATTTATATTAATAAAATCATAACAACAACTAATTTTTAATTAGTAAATGTTGCCATATTTTAATTTAGATGAAAATTCTGTAAAAATATTTGATCTGCAAATAATCCTATACACTAATAATCCTTCATTATTCCAGAGATACTAATATTTTGAATGCATTTCCATCATAATTGATAAATTCCTTTGCTTTATGATGTATGTGATCGATAGATTATACAACTTAGATACCAACCGCTGTGATGCTAAATATGCAAGAAATCTTTTTTTTATGTGAGGACCATTAAGATGCAAATCCTGTGGGAATATATCTATTATTTCTAGATAAAATTAAATAAAATTTAAAAAAACGTTAATGCAAAAGCAAGTATAATTTTTAATTGTCTTATATGAATCTTCATTATCTAAACACAGTTTGAAATTCCAGAATTGCCTCCTATTTATGATTCTGATACCACTGTGTTTTTCTTGGGGAAACACAAACCTTCTCTGCTAATTTTACATGTTTACAACACATGAGTGGTCATATGGGGATGAATGCTGGCAGAAAAAGGAGGGAAGCAAGAGAGATGGGGATGTCTGGAATGAAATACACTCAATGACAAAATTATTCTAAGTGAGATTAAATTTATTCACTGGAAATTGCCATCTGACAAATCTCTACAAATGAAACTTTGAAAAAATTCATCACTAAAAAAATCTACCTTTATCAGCACCTTTTCTTCAGTAGATATAAAGCTCAAACTCTGCAAGCCTGGAATATATCATAAAAAAATAGCAATGAATTGAACCATAAAAGAAATTCAAGGATATTCTATTGTAAATTCTAACAGTTTCGATCTACACAGGAAATCTTCCTCAGGATTCTCTAAATTGGAATGCCATTCCAATTTAGAGAAT